CCGTCGCCGTGTTAGCCCCCAGAGCACTTGCCATGGATTCGACCGGTTCCGTTTTGTCATGATTGGTAATCTATCAACATTCAATTCTGTCCGCATATTATGCTGGTGACAGAACGATACTGTCAACACTCAGAAGAGCCTCATCACACGCATTTCCGGTCAGCCTTTTTCCGACGCACAATGAACTCTGCACACTCATCGTTTATGGCGCGGTGTGTGGAATGGAGTCGATCTGTTTGTGTGGTGGAGATACGGAGAAATTTAAAATTTGAATTATCTGATGATTATGCGCTCCGTTTTTAGGACACGTGAGATCGGTTGCAAGTCTTCGTGACAGATTAGACAGCATCTAACCAATCTAATGCGAGCCATTACACCCTGGATTACCATTGAATCATCTGAAGCGTGTCACAACCTTGGCTTTCTCGCTCTCTCTTTCATCTTCGTTCTTTATTCAAGCTCTAAAACCTGACCGTAATCGATTTATTATTTCCCATATTGTTAATACATTATCCACTCTGGGAAGAAACACTTTCAAAAGACAGCAATTTACCTCGGTGGAGTGGTTCATCCCGATTGAGACGACCAATAACGCTCGTGTCGTACACGTTCCGCATCAACATAGTGGAAGTACGCTGTAACCGGATGCACCAAGTGACCTTTTACGAATGTACTGTGGAACGAATCTCTGCTTTTAGCCTGATAATGTCAGTATTCAATAATCTCGCTTACCTCTGACAGAGACATTTGCAAATGCCACATTCTAAATCTGAAAATTTTTCATCACACTCTAGCATCTGGTTTATTCTCAACGACTGAATTTTGTGACATCTGGCCAAGTTCGCATGGGGAAAGCGAAACCCGTTATTTCTAGATTGAGTCGAAGGTATTCAGCAACCCCGTGAGTGGCAATACCACTAAGGAAACTCACCTATTATCTCGCGAATGTTTTGTGATATAACAGCGGAGAAAGTCACGAATATTTATTCCTTGGTTTGTGTTGGACTGTTGCTTGTTAATTCATCCTTATGAGTAGAGTTGTGGCTCAACAACGGTGCTCGAGATGGGTCCTAAACTACCAGCTAAATAAGTGCTCATTGATAGTGTCCACTTCTATGGTGAATAAACGTAGACAGGCCACTCGATGAATAGATCACCTACGGACTACCTACCACTAAAGCCATCCGGACTACCAATGTTCACATGTTGGTAGCATTATGCGTAGCCATGGCGCTCGTAACCCCAGCTATTTAGAGCAACAGTTGGGCGGCAAATATGGACCGATAGCACGAAACACTTCAATTGTAGTGTTTCCTGTTGGAAATAAAACATTCACTTGGAGGACTAAAAGCTACTTTCCCTTCAGTGCTTCCGGTGGGTTAACTTGAATAAAGGCCGTGTTACCAAAATAATCTCCTCACTGAATGCGTCCCCTGTTTTCGGTCTTCTGGCGGGAGTTGTACCGTAGTATTATTAGTGGTGGTATTACTATATTGTTTTCATCATATACTTATTCGTGTGGTTACTGTTTGGATTCCAGCTCACATTTTTGGTGATTTGGAAGCCTGACACTCGAAGTCCATTATGGAAGGGTCCAATCTCTTTAGTAAATTCTTTCACGGCGGTTGAGCAACATGCACATATCTCATAGGATCAATCTCCTCAGCATACTCACTTGCTCCCCTGATGCAGAATAATTGAAGTAGGCTTATTCCACGTGTTTTAGTCGGTGCTAGTGACATACCGTCATCCTCAGGACGTACTATACCAGTCGAAGTGAAAACTCAAGAGTTGACGAAGCACGCCGGTAGGTCAGTGATTAACAAAAGCTTGGAACCAGTGCTGACTGCTCTGCCAGCCGATTATGTGCAACAAGCTTTTGCATGTTCAGTCGCCAATCATAATAACTAAATTTTATGGTGGCACACAATTCTTGCACGCAGGACCGCATTCAGCTGCATGCGAGCGCCCCGGCAGTGAAGCATTGGTGTTGAACACTGATGTCACGCTGTTGATGATGATGATGATGATGATGATGATGACGATGATGATGATGATGATGATGATGATGATGATGATGATGATGATGATGATGATGTAGAAATAGGGAACTAAATAGTGCCCGGTGCTAGCACTGAAGACCGTAACGATTAGTCAGGATTACCAAAATTTCGGACTGAGTGAGTGATATTCAGTCCGCGGTCACCCAAGCTTGGGGAATCTTATTCTACACGAAAAAACGGATGACCTGGAAATGTGTAGGTTATAAAACTAACCCGAATAAACCGAGACAAGCACAGACTGTCACTTATTGCCAGTAGAGTTTCCAAAATGTTGGTCATTTTCAACTTTGGAATATACTTTCCATTGAGCATCCTGAGTAATATAACCTTGTACTATTGTCCTTGGGCTTTTTTATCACCTTTGTCCAACGAACTCATTGCCGCGAACTTTTGTCTGATAGCTACATGGAGCTAGGGATTCATTACACCATGAGACTAAGGTGCTCCAGCCCACTAATCGCCCCACTAATCGCTGACAATTTTATTCATCATATGCTTAGTTCTCCTTCATGCTGGCGACTATCCAAACCTGTCCATGTCGCTCTTCTTTTAGGCGATTCAAAACGGGGAACCATAGGCAGTATCCTTCGGATTAACTCTACGGCCAAACCTGCCTAACATTAGAGCTGTCGACCAGTATCAAACCCAGTTTTCGGCACACACCAATCATGTGTTGTTGGCTAGTCGGGCCAACCAATCAGCATACTGCTGTCGGATTATTCTATCTCCTAATTGGTTAAAAACTTGTTTGATCGTTCACGCTCTTATTTTCTACCCCCATGCAAGCAATCAAGTCAAAAACCGTGTCAAGCCCATAGTCGGAGGTGGGGCATTGTAAAGCCGTAGACACACGGACGACACCTTTGGCATTAACAACAGACAGACAGGCTAACGAACAAGCACCCGTGACGCACCCTCCCTGTTTTCGGTGCTGTTTTGTGTTTTGTCCAGGTCCAGGTGAGTCGAACCGACACCATGACAACCGTGACAGCAGGATTTTCTGTACCCCCGATTCTCACTGGTTCACACATTTACTGTCTTGCGCAAGCAAAACAGGTAGACAGAGCGGACGGAATTTCTAAAAAATAAAACACTCACGAGGACCACCAATCCGAAAGCTGGAATTTTCACGGGTCCAATTTGTTGCCTGTTTTCCGCAAATATTACTTTGTTCGAGGATAAAGTTGGGGTCCATGTGCCGCGACTGATCCAATGATGGAAACAATGACTGATCTTTCTCGGTAAGTTTTTGTCTGTGTTGTGTTTGAAAAGGGAATAAGTATCACAATATTTGTATCTCAAATCCTTGTTCATTTCCAAATAGTGGTTTCTATCCATTTGTACCCTTGATAGATTGGTTGGGATAAATCAAGTCAAAGCATTCATGGTTAAACCTAGTGAATTTGATAAGACGCATTTTTGTGGTAACATGCCCGTCTGTCTACCAGCGTAGAATATGTGAGGTAGGTGTATCTGTTTGTGACTTTGTAGATGGACAGGGAAAGTATGGCAGTAATCTGATTGTTATCGTGTGGAATCTATTTCGAAACTTCCATGTCTCTCGGAGGGTTCCCATGTCCCTTTAACCCTAGTACAACTTGCAAATGCTCGATGAAGAAGGCGACAGTGTGCATGCGTCGTGGGCTTACTACGTTTCTTTTTGTTTAGTACCCCCCGGCTATCCAAAGAGCCGAAAACGGGTTGATGCCTTTTTAAATGAGTTATTTTAAACTTTCTGAGCTCACCGTTCTAGTAGGTCAACACCGGTGAGGTTATCGTCAACACATGGGTGAGAATACATGTAGCGTAATATCCAAAACATTTTAACGACACTAGATTACAAAAGACCATGAATAGGGACCAAATTAAGTCGCTTCGTATTTCTCTAACCAGTACTGTTTAACGAGGATCAAGGATGGTGGTCCGCACTAATGACATTCGGGTAAACTTAGCGCGTCATGTTTTCCCAATCAGACATGTTTGAACTAGCGAATGTATGAGGTTTCCCGATGCTCGAAATCTCATTTCATTGAACCGTTTTTAGCACCAAAACGCCTGTTTCCCAAGCGCGCTTTTCAGAGCCAACTTAGGCTGACGGGTAGGAACTGTGATTTCACTGTACCAGAAATATGAATATATTGCGTTTTCTCTGAACGCAACCATCTGGCAGAAAACTTGCAGAGCAGTTTCTTGCGGAAAGTGCCCTGAAACTAACAGTGGGTCGCTGCCTGGGTTGTTAAACGCGTTCACTTTTCGGGTGTACATCATACGCTTCATTACTTCTGAGATAATGAAACTCAGTTTGCACTAGGAGGTTATAGGTTCTATCATACGCTTCATTACTTCTGAGATAATGGAACCCAGTTTTCACTAGAAGGCCATAGGTTCATACTTTATAGGTATCAGACACGTGGTCAACATTGCGAAAATGATTTGAACAATAAAAATGTGGCGGTTAGGCATAATGACCCATATCCAGCTCTTGTGTATTCTGGTCTATCTAGTTAGAGGGATCTTGAAAGTTTTCATTCTTTCCAGATAAGTATTGACTTGCCCGAGAATTACCACTGCTCATGAGCATCAATCTTTATAAAGAAGTTGATGGTTACTCGGTGTTTCCTCAAGTTGTATTGAAAAATCGGGAACCGAAAATATTTTCCCGCACGAGCACTGATGTTTGCTTTCACACTCAGTAACTTACCATTTTCGACGAAATCTTCAACTCAACAGGTCTTCTCCAAACAATGATAGCCAGTCTAAAAGTAATGCGGCACCCATAGTAAACCACTGACAGATGTTTTATGAGAGGCTATCACCTGGGGTATCAATAGAAGGCCAAATACTTCCATACTAGAAGGAATTTTCTCTCTCTCTCTCTCTCTCTCTCTCTCTCTCTCTCTCTGTACCTCTGCATCGCTGGACCGATAAATCTACCTAAGTGTTCGACGAGTACGGACACATGAATACGAATGCAAACAGGGCCACGTTCTGCTCTTATACAGAAGCCCAGAGCTGTTGCAGAGATTTCCTTTTAGAGCAATACCATTAGATATACTAGCCACTTGGGGCAAACTGAAAGAAACTTTCCAGAAAGATAACAATAGCACTTCACTCAACGGCTGTTCAAGTATCAACTGAATTCCCTTCTGGGTGTACATTGTATTTTGATGGCATGTGCAAACTTTAGTCTCGCTGATGCTTCCAGATTTCAGTAACGGAAGCAGTTGACTTGAGGCTTGTTCCAAAAGTCCAAAAGGGTGTTCAGGAATGTGATACGAAAATCGAAAATCCCTGATCATTGCGATTTGTCTCTAGTACATGATAATTGCAAGATTTCGTGGAGGGTTTAGATGCACTATCCCTCTGAGGAGATTACATTATAAAGAAAGGAGTTTTCTGGACTTCTGGAGGATATCCTGTCTTCAGAAAAGAATGGATACATAAAAGAAACAAACAAACTTGGTTACCATCAGATTCTGTGGTGGTCTCTCCATCTCATTTGGATCCAGCGCTCCAAGTAAGGCTCCTTCATCCTTTGATAAGTAGGGTTCACCACCGAACTGTACCTTTCATTAGGCCTGTTCACGTCAGACCGTTAACTTCGGTTGCCAAGGCGGACTGTGTCTAGCCGTTTGGGCTGCTGATAAGCATATCAATACGGGATGGTCCATTTTTTGCTTCCGCGAACATCTGCCCTGAACATGTCCACCAGCTTGTATTCAAAACCATTTTCTTCAGGATACGTGATTAGGTGTTTGACGAAAGTGCGCTACTGCGTTGTAACTCTGCACCGGAAGGTATCCATCCGTGTGTGGTGAATAAGCACCACCCCACGGACCGGAAGAAATGTAATTGTCGACTTCCGTGACGGCATTATGCAGTTGGTGCAGTTTCCACCGCCCTGTTTGTTCTGAGCTTCGGATGTGTGACTAAAAATCAAATCATGTTTACGAAAAAGACCGTGCTTTCGTGTTTGACTCTGTGTGTGTGTGTGTTGATGTGTGGTTCAACTAGCTAATTCCGGGAGACAGTTGTAAGCAGAAGCTGTGTTTCGTCTCACCACTTAGTGCACACGAGGATAAAGTTGCTTCCGGTTAGGGACCGGTACCAGTTAATTGCTAAAACTCCTTTCAAGATGATTCTAATAAAGTTGTCTTAGTAGCTGACAAAAAACTGCCCGCTCTCTACAGAAGGTAATCTTTTTCGTTTATACATTTCGACTTCTGGGTTTCGCTCGGTCAGATTCAGAAAGCTGTGTCTATCCCATCTGTCGCTGTACAATCCCTTGGATAAACGCCAGTTCTTGGCCCACTCGTCTGGGGTAGTACGACAGATTTGCGGCTTACCTTTCAAGAGAGCACGATTTTCAGTTTCATCTTCGTATGCCATACTTTCTGCTATCTCATCATTAGATAAACGTGAATATTAATATGACCCTATTCCAAATGGACCATTTCCCTAGAGAGGTGAAAGTAACTTCCCTTGTCAACAGAAAGTCTCCATCGAAAACAACAGCCTCCTAGGTGACACTGAGACACACTCTTCAGTGTCCTAATCATTTTCATCACCATAACAAGCTATGAGAATAGCATACTTGATGTTTGGTGGTTCTACATGCCACGTATTCGTTTGCCGATGATTTGGGTAGGTGGGGTGGGTAGCTAAGCTCTGAAAGCAGTAGCTGATATGATTGATGCATACATACAGGGCGGGGCTCTATGCACTAAAGGCAATAGTGCCATTGGATGGCGCGACTGGGCCATGTCTGACAATGTCTTTCACCATTGATGTGTCCGGTCTCGGGGTACCCATCCAGGGAGAATAATGATCAGTGTAGCTGGGTTTGGTGGTAATGGCTTTCATACCTCGTTGCCGAGTCATTTTTTGATCTCCGCTGGCTCATTTTCACCCTTCACTTAGTTGTGCGAAAAGGGGTCTTTGAGAAAGTCGGTCAGCTGGCATAAGAAGCACTTGTCAATCCAGTGCAAGCTGTGATTAGTTAATCCATCGTGGGCTAGATGTTACTTCCGAAAACCAATCGGATTACTTCAGCATTACTTATCCCACAAAAATTACCCCATCAGACTCGTACAGTGTTTCGAAGGCATTGATTGTCGGACACTGGAAGATTTTAACCTCCTCTGGGCATACCGGTCAGGCTTCCGAGCCGTATGATGACATGGAGCGCACCGCAGCGTTGAAAATTCGCCCCCGGTGAATAAGCTGATGTCACGTCTGCGTCCCAGGTAATGTGGGTTCACAAGAGCTGCTCTAGTCTACCCAGTCCAGATGGGGATATCGCGCTTGACCGAATTCGCCCCCGGTGAATAAGCTGATGTCATGTCTGCGTCCCAGGTAATGTGGGTTCACGAGAGCTGCTCTAGTCTATCCAGTCCAGATAGGGTTATCGCGCATGACCGGACCACCGGAACTAATACAGCTGCTCAGGTAAACAAAATTATGGCTTATTCGCGAGTATGAGGCTAGGGCTCAAGTCCACTCAGTCTTGCAGCAGCACTCTGTGCTTCGCAATGGGGCGGAGTTATTTAGATTATTTAACGTTGTCCGCATTACTCGGGTATCAGATACAAGAAGAGCTATATAATCTGCGTACTCGATATCTTTGAGCGAATACCCCGGGGAGCATTTTGAACCCACAGGCAGTAGAGCCTGGGAATGAGTGTTCCACAATCGTACCATTGACGGTTGAAGAGGAAAGACCGGAGAGGACAGCGTTGATGTTGTGAACTCAAGCGAGAGCTTCCTGTAGACTTTCACGTGCCCGCGGGAGTTGGCATGCCTAGCCTTAAGAAGAGCCAATAATTGACGGGGGAAATCTTTGCTCCATAGACACTGTCTGACGGTCCATAGAGTAAAAGGCAGATTCCGAGTCAGGAAAGACCACAACTGTTGACTGCTAGAAGCAGTGCCACTGTTCCAGAATCTGAAGGATGGTGGAAATATGATCGATGCGTCGTCTTGTAGCACGGAACCCAGCTTAGTTTCCACGGATTTGTCTTATCCTCTTTCCGTCAACCTTCAAATGATAAGACCGGAAAGCACCTTCGATGCTACTGCTTGACAGTTCACTGGTTTTGAAGCATATGGACGGTGCTGCGAAAAGCGAAGTCAGCTAAAGTTTGGTGGACAAAAGCGTCAACACGTCATCAAGAGGTCCATGGTGAAATTGGTTAGGTGGACAAGATGGGTGAACAAGCTTTTAAAGCTTTTCGAACACCTGGTGTGCGTCGGGGTTAGTGGCCTGCTTCAACATTCTCCACACCCGGGGTTCATACCCCACATTAGCGCCTTCAGCATAACTTCTTCCTTATTCAGCCAAGCTGTCCACAATCTGTTTCAGAAATGGAGGCAATAAAATACTTTCGTTTCGCCAGAAAATACCTATTTGCCTACCGAGAGAACTACAAACGACTTCTTGTCTTTTAGCAGTTATATGAAAACCCAGATGCTGGTTAGAAAATACCTATTTGCCTACCGAGAGAACTACAAACGACTTCTTGTCTTTTAGCAGTTATATGAAAACCCAGACTGAATGCTGGTTAGCTATTTGGATGCTTGCATTTTGGAGAAGCGATTTAAAAGCTAGACTATGAGCAAAGTTATTTCTGAAAATCCAAAGTATGATGTAACTAAAATTCAGCCGACTCAGCTTCGGTTTTCGCATTCTTGTGTTCAAAGTACAGTGATCCTGTCTGGGATCGGACACACGGAGAAAGGGTAGCTCCAGGAGTACAGCGGATCCATTGTAACCTCGACAAAGGAGTAGTCTGCATTCGACGGAAGAAAGTGGGTTCTGATGAATATTGGCAGGCTAAATGTGCCCAAAAAGAGCCAGTTCTAACGCAGTTTCATGGAGAGCTGATAACCCCCTTATCCAATGTTTTCAGTTCACACTCTTGAGGCGAATGACGCTTATTGAACTGACATTTGCCTATTGATCCTCTCAGCGAACGACTTTCCTTCCAGCTTCTGCGTTCAGTAATGAGTAAGCAGGCGTTTAAATTTCACTAAGGTTCCCACACTGCATCACAAACCGGATATAGGTTTTCACAAAAAAAACTGGCGTTCCCACACTTTGTGACCCAATCGGGTTTCAGGACTGCGCACACTATGCACATCCAGGGATCAGTGTGGCAAACAAACACCTAGCTTGTATCACTATCACTGTGAGCGTATCCCATGAGCATGTTGTTGTCTGCAGATCTGATTCTCACACTTTCTCGCTCTCCCATTCACTTAGCATCGATTGCTGCGACCGTTTGAGCCAACCCGGACTGCGGATGGATCGCGCGGCGGCGACCGTCTTTCTACCTGACTGTCGTGGAGCCCTAACGTCAGAAACTAACTATCATAGCATTCCCACCACAACATTTTCCCATCTTCCGAAGGCCTCGGTTCATCCTCCATCACCGTTGCTCAGCGTGGTCTCATCACCATTGTGTACAACGCAAGCACTCAGACCGCTCTCTCCCAGCCCCATCCTTTCAGGGTCACTTACTCTCGCACCAGTGCAATCAATAAATCCCGCTTGTTTCCCCGATATTTCGGAATACAGCAACCCACCAAGATCAGCAACCAACCAGTTGGATACATCTACAACACCAAACTCCAGTTCACCGATTAAATGCGAAAGGACGAGCGTGACTTGGTACAAAGGACCGGGTGATTCAGAGAAGTCAACCCATAAGTAAGTTCGCTCGATGTGTGTTTGAGAATGGGTATATGTGAATGAATTTATTGAAAATATATATTCTTAGAACAGCGTAGACACCAGAAACTTATTATCGATGTGAGTTTCACTTTGATCCATACGCCTGCTTCCGTGGATATTCACTTGTGGCTAGTCGCCTGTAGTAGGATTATTGGCCTCAAGGCAGATATTACAGACTGAATCTTAGTTCAACAGACATCACTGAAAGTTTGCAACTGCCCAAACGCACTAAAAGGTTTCTTAAAAGCACCCTGAATGCGACGGGGAAGCAGTTTTCACGTGACAACGGTCATAGCTCGACACAGTTCAGACAATTCCAGGCTCTCGAAGAGGATGTTCGTTGGCTGGATAGATGTTGCCGCGTGAAATAATATTTAGGACCTTGGTATTGATAATGCTTTTCAGTCAGTACATCAGAGCTACATTTCCGACGCCACTTATATCCTTCGACCAGAAGCAAGTTCTCAACACTGTTTTCATTGGACTCCAGAAAGGGTACCTATTCTGAGAGGCTTAGAACAGCCACGCAGCTTCAAGCCATAGGCGAAGTTTCCATGAGAGAGGAACCACTGCATATCGACCGGTTTCGCTCTTCTTGAAGCTCATCAGGTAGGCGCAGTCCCTGATCTGCTTGAGCCCAAATTGGACAGATTTCAATAAATACTTATAGGGTTGACGGAAATTCGGGGACTGCACCTACCTGATGAACCCCAAGAAGGGCGAAACCGGTCGTGGTGTATTACATCTATACAATTTATCGGGATATATCGAATTCCGTATCAACTGAAACAGGAGGTGGCCTGGTGCGGCACATTCAGTTGAAGGAGAGCACCATAAACGAGAGATCCAGTTGGGCTCCAGTTAAGTCTATTCGTAGGACTGGTTCCCTTTACTCATCTACTTAATCCTTCAGTCATCCGAATGAAGTGAAACTCCGTCGACATGATTCACACACAACCAAATTTGTCTCAACATCCTTTTCGTTGCGCACCCTAGTTCACTGGTCTCACACTTATTTTCCTCCGCCATCCTTTTGTGAAATAAGATGTTCGGCTAATTCATCGCCCGGTTAATTCACTGTTTATTAGAGTCGTTGGTGCTCCGCGAGTGCTAATCTTCATGGCGACATGCTGTGTTGATTTCTCACTCTATCAATTTGTTAGCCCTAAGCATCTGTGGCACCGGTATTCAAAAGACCCAGATTCTTTCATGGCCCAAACAGTTTAGGGGTACATTCAGCCGCCAGAGGTAGGACCTGATTAGCACTTAAAATTTCATCCAAATAAACGGAAACTCGAAGCTCACAGTCAGACGAAACACGTTTGTTGTCAAGAGTTCGATGAACCTAGTCTTTTATTCACTTAGAGAACATCATAAACGAGAGATTTAGCTGGGTTTCAGTCGAGGCACCCATAAAAAATGATGGGCAAATGGCTGTGTTTGTCAAAATCTGTCCAGTTCGGAATGTCCTTACTAATAGGACAAATCTTCCGTCAACTCACCAACTAATTCAGGTGTTGTCACAAAGTTCAGTTCTCAGTAAAATCTACCGAGTGCTCTATCTGTGTGGACTTTTCCACTGTTGGTTTTCTGACAGGAAAAATAATTTTAAATAACGCTAAACGCGTCACAAACCCGCTGCCAAGACTTTGCGACCACCAGGTTAGGAACAAGTGGTTTAAATTCCGTTCCACTACTAACATATCAGCTCGGAGTGACGATATATCGAAACAACAGCCATTCATAGTGAAAACGCCTACTAATTTGAATGTGCCATGATTTTTTAACTTTAATTTCAAAAGACAACGTGGTTCTTCATTTTTTCCAAGACCCAATGGAAGTTTCCATATTCGTTGTCAAATGGTTCTGACGAACTAAGCACAAATAACTGAGAGGAAACGAACGGTGTCAAGATTCTTGACACATGCCTTCGACATGGCTTCGTGTACCCCGAAAAGGAATCTGGTAATAATAATAAATAATAATCGTTCAGCTGCAACACTTTCCGGGTTCATAGCTGCCACTTTACCCGAAGGAGGCGCAACAGCTAAGGTAATGCCAGGTCACCCAAACCTAGACGGAAGTAGTCGAGCCACGGATCTTCCGGTCATTAAGTCCGCGCCTTAACCATTGGGCTATCTCGATCTCGAAAAGGAAATTAGTATTGAGTGATAGAGCATTTCCGATAGCCAGAACATCCTACAAGTCACAATGGTCTGATAGGCCACTACTCGATGGGTCGGTAAACACCAACTCACGTGACACAGGCTACATGAAACAAGCAGGGTGGCGCCATACAGTACCTGGATCCCACACTGCTTCTGCGTTCTCCATGACCTAGTGGTATTGTGTTTAACTGCTAGGTGAGAGATCGCCGGTTTAGATCTCCCTGCAGCTCCGTGAGATGTACCCCGTCAATGGCAAATGGGTCTCATTATTCTAATTAGTAGTTTTGTAACAAGAAAATAAATTGAATATTAGCTCAGTCGAACCAAACCCAAATCATCGCATGAAAGACGTATTTGCATGAGTTCTGCAATAACAATACCCAACTACGCAAAACGGTGTTGGGCTGGATTAGGATTAAACCGGTTCCCGTACTTCTTGGTTTTCGAGTGGGAATCACCTTCTTTTCAGGGCAGGCTCCCGATAACTGTAGTTTGTGCGGAAATAAATTGATGACACTGGTAAGTTTTCTGTTTTATTAGAACCTCAAGGTGCAGCATTCCCCTCTTGAAGAGGTGTCGAATATTCGAAAATTGTTCCTTGAGTGGGAGCTTCTCCCTTGCGGAGACGATCACCGTGTATCGTGTACAAGGTCACCTGGGTTCAGAGAACGCAACTTGGAGATTCTTTCTGCGCACAGTGCAATTGCATTCGCTCCGTAAAATCCAAAACCACAGGAAGAACTGTAGTACAGGTTGCCAATACACTACTCAGAAGATTGCTGAAATCTCTAACAGTTCAAGACTAGCTTCGCTCTTCTTAGAGATGATCAGGTAGGCGCAGTTCGTCCGTCAAACAGGGACTCGTAAAGCCATCAGTAACTGCAAGATTGCATCTCTCATCAAACACTCTATCTCTGTATCCATCGCAGTGCTGAGAGGGCATCCATCCAAAAACGACAAGCTGATTCATAATGGTGATGATGGGTGGGTGCCTGTAAGGCACTTTCCACATGCGACTTCCACAAAGGCCAAGTGTGTGAGATGTCGTATCGATGGCCACTCGGATCATTACTGGGACAAACGGTTTTTATTTTCAAAACCTCTACTCCAAAAGAGAGTACAACCGGGTCATCAGGAAACGCGAAAGAAAGGATGTGAAATGGTAAAACATTTAGAAAAGGCTCACCATTTTGTCCGATTAGTTTTGAATTCACCAAGGCAGAGCTGTATTGTGCAGTTATAATGAGATATTTGGAAGGATAGTTTCAACAGCAGCTACTTCACTCTTCACGGTTCAATCCCCTGTTCCGAGAGTCTCATTTATTGATCAGTGCGATGATCAATCACATAAGGCAGACAGGATCCTGCATTAACGTGCTTGTCGTCCCTGAACGCACGTTAAAACTACTGATCACGATCATCGTCCTCGTTAACAAACGTTTGTGTACAGGTGGTTTCGTAATCGCATCTGCCACGTCCTTCCTGCCTTACTTGGATCAATTTCATTCATATCACCTGTTTTTTAATGACAGATCTGTAGTTCGGTATGAAAACGAAAGCGGTACGATTAGTCCGTTAGTTGTGAATTCATATCCATCTTGTTCAGACAAGAATAGGTCAAAGTACCAGAGTTCAATGACACAAACAAAGCTGAAATCTAAAATGTGTGGTCGGAAAAGAAGCTTGTTTCAGTTAGTCGGTAGGATGGAGTGTTTTGCCGGTTTCCAAATTATCTGTCGTCTTCAAAATGCGGGAGCTTATTGGTTGATTGTACAGATCAATGCCTCTGGATAGCATTTACAAAGCCCCAGATGAAACAACCGATGCAGTTCACTTTGTTTTCCCCCTGTTACTTGTAAGTGAAGTGCTCTGGTGATTTGCACTACCTTTCCGGAGGAATGAACTGTCCTGACTGATCTGTTTGCCACTTCAGAGAAGTTTTCAAACTTTTCAGAGGAGAAATCTCTACGCATATATCTTAGTTCACCGAAGGATCCAACCCGTAGGTCCATTTGCAACCAAGTGGGCAACTTACCGCTTGGTTATTTACTTGTCGGCGCATGAACTGGGACCAGCTAATTTAATAGAATATGCTGGTGTTGTAGATATGCATTTTGGAAGTTTAACGTCACTGAAGTAAGAAGCACATCAGCGCCTGTTAAAAGTATGGTTTCGTTGTTAGTGACACTAAATATACTTTGAATTAATGCGGCACTGGAGGTGCTTACGTGAATCGAATATTAGCTACCGGTATACCTCCGGTAATAGTTCTTGTCCCTGACTAGAAAAGAGACATGTAACCACTGTTCTTTTTTAAGGCTCGGGTTATAAGTTTGTTGTGTCATGTCATCACGTATCTTTTCTCCTTGGAGCGGCCGGTTCCTAGGTCGCACTATTGTGATAATTTCTTCTTTTGTAAGTTTCAAAAGACTGTCCAGCTTTCAAATGCGAACGGAGGGAGATACATAAGCTCAATCCTGGCCAAAGTAATCCATATTCATTTATTGCAAGATTTAAACTTTTAACGATTCTTCCCCAGGGAATCACCGCACTTCCAAGCCAGTCGATGGTCGTCTTCCAAAACTAGCCTACTGTATAAACCTTGTGTGTTTGTGTGTGTGTGTGCCTGCGTGCGTGCGTGCGTATGTGCGCATTTCGTGGACGGATATCCGTTCAAATCTTTTCCACGTGCATCCATATCACTTCGTTTTCTGGTGCACCCTTTTTCTTAGAAAACCTTATCTCCCCTCCCCCCTACCCCACTGAAAGAGTGGAATTTTTGTCGGCAGAACACACCACGCGGGAAAA